CTCCTCATAATATGTCTTCCAGCATATATATGAAACCCCATTTGGACATGACGCCAAGTTAAAAACTTGATAGTCGCCAGAAGGAGTCTTAAAAACATCTTTCTAATATCAATCGAATCATTGCATCACTTTCAGGTTCAGGTTTCTTGACTGCATGTAGGAGAAAAAAGCTGCTCTCACTGAAGAAAGCGTACCATCATGCCCTCTTGTGTCTCAACGTGGTATTACACTGTGCTGTGACTGCCACCCTCCTTTTGTTCAGGATTTTTCTATTCAAATTCAACCCCAAAAAGAACCGACCCGATGCCATTTCTCACCAACATCAGAGAGATAAGAAACGAGAGAGATCACAGAGTGGCCTCCCCCCTCTTTCACTCACCCACTGTCCCTCTCCCTATCTGTCTTTCTGTGGCCTACAAATCCACAAAGAATGGACGGTTTCAGCAGAATGTCTTCCTCAGCTTGACTCGTGATTGGACCAGAGGAAGGGGTGGAGGTAAACTGGGGGCTGCTGTGGCACAAGGAGTCCCTCTATAGCAGGAGACCAGTGAGTGAAGCAACACAGAAAACAGAACATGTGTGAAGGTTAGAGGGAGAGAAGACATCGAGAGGCTCTGGAACGAGAACGTGAATATGCAACGACGTGGCCAAGATCACCAACAGCCAGCATGTAACAATGCAGCATATAACACAAAAATATAACTGTGTCAAGTGAGACAATCTGCAGCATTGCACCGACTTTTTTTCTGCTATATTTCTGTTGCCACCTGGCCAAATGTGCATGTGGCATGTCCAAAACTTTATCAGTTTGTTAGGAGTCAATAGTTAACCACAGCTTTATCAGTGTCAGTCCAGGTCAGTCCCATTACAAATGTGTTTCCCCACAGCGAGCTTGCAAACATGCAATTTTGTGCACCCTCTTCCACCGCTCTCATGCCTCAAACCTGGCCTTTTTCCCAGCCAGCCTCGCTCTCAGCTCTCAACCCTTAAAAACCGTTTCCAGCTCCAGCCCGCTGTGAAGAGTTCCTCCCCCCCCCAAAGTCGGCCATAAGTCAACGGTCCGTCTCTTTTCAGCCTTTGGTCACTAAAACTGCGCTGACAAACTTAATTCCAGCCACAGCCTGCGAAAACTAGTTGTGGCTACGGCAGTAAAATGTCAGTCAATACAGCTGCTGGTCAATGTCTGTTACTCCAACTGGAATAGCTGGAATAACTCAGAGGAAACTGGATATAGTAGGTATACACTATGTAAATACATCCCTCAGAAGAGAATCTGGGGTGTGACTTCACAGGGGCCCTCATGCAAAAATTGAAGTGTTTGTGACAAGAAAAGGAGAAGAAAAGGAGACGAGAGGAGGAGGAGGAGCCACAAATAAATCATGCAAAAGAGCTCTTCATTTAAGAAAAGTCTATTTATCATTCAAACTGCTTCCTGTCCCTCGACGGCGTGTTGCATAAGTCATCAGGCCGGTGGACATGATGTCATGTGGGTGGTGGGCAGCAGAGCTCACTTTGGTGCGTTTGGAGCTGTTTTCAGGACAGAGCCGTGGTTCAGTCTGCAGAGATCTGCCGCTTGAATCAGCACCTTTGTGACACTCGACACATTTGAGCTATTTCTGCTCTTAGGCACACACTCATAAAGTCTCACTAGAAAGCGCCCGAGGGAAGAAGTTCAGGAGGTTTCTTTTGGTGTCGCCCGCTGCAAGTGAACATACTTCACCTTATAGTAAACAGACCACTCCTTTCTAAGTACTGCCAGAGTAGAAGAACATTAACACATGAGCTGGCTGTGAGGAGAAAGTGTTTTCTGTCTGGGTGGTATGCATGCACTACAGACGTTTTGTTTGTTTAGTAACACCTTTACATGCTAAAAGTCTTTTTTCTATCTCCGGTTTCATGCATTCACCTCTAGAACTTCACTTCAATACAGTCTTTTGGGCTTGAACAATGTATCGCAGCTTGATCAGTGAAAATTAAAAATTGCAGAGAATAAAGTTTCGGGAGTCCCATAGGCGAAGGGAGGGGAGGGGCCACAGGGGCCATGGCCCCTGCTGGAATCTGATTGGCCCCCCTCTCGGCCCCCCCTGTGAAATACTGTCCTGTCATTGGGTAGTTTCCTTGAGGAGCGCTAGCTGGCTGTTACAGCGCAGCTTTATGGGGGCGGGGTGAACAGAGCATTGCGCTAGTGTGTGTGACGGGAGCGGCTGGAACGTGAAACGAGCACACCTGACGGACACTCTGAGACGGTGAGGGTCACATTTAAAACGTGCGCTAGATTGAACACAAACGAGTTCCTGATGTGTTTGATCTTAACTCGTAGATTTAGTCATTATCTTTACTTTATCATTTAACATTTTGATGACAACAAGTTGATGTTATTGGGTAGAGAAGCTGATGAAACCAGATGGTAAATAACCATCAAGGGGTTCCTGCATGAATGATTATGTGACACGAGATCTTGGTATGGTGTGGTTTTTTTCTTATTATTATTTTGAAATGAACGTTAAATGAAGACACTTAGATGTTGTGGGAGCAGCCAGGGCATTCCCAATCCCCAGTCTGGGTTCCACCTGAATGGTGTCATTTAGTCTCTGTTCCAGCAGCAGCCTGCAGGGTCAGTTATCTGAACCCTGATCAGGACTTCAGGTTGCCATTCATAGAAGGTCTCTGGGGATCCACTGGACCCCAAGAAAGAATTTGTGCAAAATAATTGTTGGTATTCATTATAGGCTTTTATACTATGTTAAATACATTTTCTAATACGTTGACATATTTATGGCTCCAAATGCATATTTAAAAATAAAATCTTTAAAAATCAAAAAAACAACACCTGTCACCTAAACCAGATGACCTGGGGTCCAAAAGAGCCCAAAAGTCCTGAATAGAGTAAAGAAGAAGCCATTTCAGGGTCAGACCAGTGACCCAGACAGGTTCAGGGGGACGGTTCTGAGGACTGGCATCCAGAGCAGGACCAGTCCAGCAGCTGGAGCCAATCATCAGCACCAGAGCAGGACAGACAGACGTTCCTCAGAGACAATACTGTTCATATAAAAGAGGAGATCATTGTGTTCATGTGTGTATTCACATATATGTATCATGGTAATGTACCGTGATCCATCAGGCTGTTACTGACGTGAGTCTTCACTGTGAATCAGTCTGAGGGTCATGAGCTGCTGCTGAAAGAAGCAGTGATTGTACATTCCATGTTGTACAAGCACGTTCTGACCAGAAACCTTTTCCAGATCATGTTAATGTTGGTAGATCTATTTAATCAGGTCTATGTTTAGTCATACAATGTGATCACAAGTAAAGAACATTTCTTGAGGAATTGCTGTCGGCTAGATCTACGAATAACGCAGTCATTGAGTGCCCCCCTAAATGTAGAACCTAGAATGGCCACTGTTCGGGACACACATTCATGCAATGCAGCGAAGAGCCGAGGGAAATGTGATCTGTGCTCCGACGCGAGCTGATGAAATCCTGTGGTGAACTATAGATTGGAGGCGGTTTCCTGAACTTTGGCTCTGTTGATAAACACTGCAGGAAGGCCTATCTCCAACATTCCCCCTGAAACTGGATAAACCCAGAGCTGGCAGAGCGACACAACAGCACTCTGTTGAAGGTCAGCATCCCCATATCTCTGTGTGTGCGTCTGTGTGTGTGTGTGTGTGTGTTTGTGCACTTGAAATGTGTGGAAAAATTAAGGACAATAAATGAAGACTGTGGGAAGAAAACGCTGCGTTAATAGTTAACCCCAATAAACGCAATGATCTACATGCAGCAATGGGTTTTAAATCTGCAATATGACTGGTTTCTGTCGTACAACACACATGGTCCACCGGAGCTCTGGTTCCAGTGTGTCAAGCAGCTCACACATATTTCCGTTACTGATTAACCCGTTGACTCTGTGCTTAATTTTTCACCTCATCCCATCATGGCCTCAAGTAGAGCAGAAAGAAAGTGTCCTACATTGTGAAGTGACATCATCCGACGGCATGTGTTATCTGGACGATACAACCTGAGAAACCTAATTTACTCTAATGTAGGGCAAGTTAACCAATCAGTGGAGAAGCATTTTATTTTGTTCACTCTTGCTTGAAAATTAAAAATTAACAGATCGTCAAAATATTTGTGATACTGTACCCGTTATGTGGAGCTTCTTTGCATAGCTCAAGATTAAATATTTTACAATCTTTCTCTTCTGTTGCCAAATGTTCAAAACTTTAACCAGAATCATGTAAAACCACACAAAGCCACACGCTGCAAACACCATCAGTCTTAAATGTGTTTTGTATCAAGACTCTCGGATCAGAGGTGAAACATCACCAAGAGCCTAAAAGAGAGTTTTTTTACCGAAGCTCCTGTGTTTACCGTGACCTCAAACGCAGACAGTACAAACTTTGCAGAAGGTTGCACAGAGAGGACAGTGCAAGATGTAATATTTCATAGACCTGCAAGTACACAAAGAACTCAGACGGCTTGATGTCGTCAGGCAAGAGGTTAGGAACATTTTTAGGCACGTTGCAGGAATCTAAACACTTCATGGTAAACTGGTAAGAATCACATCAAAAGCAGAATCACTGTCGTATAAACTGGCGGCTTCACAACAAAGACGCTCAGGTGCTGAACAAAGTCTGGTGCGTTCCTTTTTGTCGCTTCACCGTGACCGACAACTTTCCAACGAGCACTTAATGACAAAGTACAAGGACCTGTGATTCAGTTAATATTAAACACGAGTTATTATCGGCAGGACCGGTAATATATTCATCACACAGGCAGATCTTGTTTTTCTGCAACCAGCGCTTTTTTTCTCTGTTACCTGAATTGACTGTTTTAACCAATGCCACCTTCATTGATCTGTGTGCCAGGACCGTGTTGCGAAATATCCAAACAGAAATGTTGCAATTAAACATAAAATTGGCACCGATCTAGAATCCTCCCATCCTCATTCAGCAGTATAAAAATTGGTGATGAGCAGCTCTCGGTACTCTTCAGGCCTTAGAGGGGTTTGCTGTTACCAGTGCTTAGTGCTGCAACTGAAACGGGAAAGTAAAAGATGGCACCTGTTAAGAAGGTAACGTTACATCTCTGGTACTTTGTGGATATTGCTGAATTGTTACTGTTAGTCCTCAGCATCATGCAGAGCAGCTGTAGGTTATAGAGATGTCCTGATGGACGATGGTTGTTAGGAAAATGATGCCAGTGCAGGTTTTATTGTGTGTGTGTGTCTGCGTGCATGTGGTTTGTGAAACAGCCAGACTGAAACGATCGCTGCCTCAAAAAAAATTCACTTTTATCTTTGCACCTTTGAACCTGAAGTGCAGCTTCTCATAAAATTGCATAAAATAATCATTGCACATATCTGTTCATTTCTCAACCACATTACAACACATCACCTCTCTGTGCTCTCATGTCTTACCTCCATCAACTGTTGTGGCCTTGTTCACTTTTATTCTTTTAATGAGCTACAACACATCTATAAGCTTGATTCAACGTAGGGCACAGGTTGAATCAGTCCACTCTGGCCCCACAGGGTATCCTTGAACGGCTCAATGCTGGCGAGGTGGTGATTGGCGATGGAGGCTTTGTGTTCGCTCTGGAGAAGAGGGGATACGTGAAGGCTGGGCCTTGGACTCCTGAGGCTACTGTCACACACCCTGAGGCCGGTAAGACGGACAGCACTCACGTATACCGCATCTAAACCTTCACACAGTCCAGACGGAAGATGCGCAAACCTAAACTCAACAGTTTAACATGACAGCGTGTGTTTTCTGCAGTGCGACAGCTGCACAGGGAGTTCCTGAGAGCCGGAGCTAATGTCATGCAGACACTGACGTTCTATGCCAGTGATGACAAACTGGAGAACAGGGGTCAGACAGTGAAGTATACTGTGAGTACCTAAATATGTCACCTGTGATTCCTTAGTGTGGATTGTGTGTCGTCAACAACTTCATCACCCATCTAATTCTTTCAGGGAGTACAAATCAACGAGGCCGCCTGCGACCTGGCGAAGCAAGTAGCCAGCGAGGGCGACGCTCTGGTGGCCGGTGGAGTGTGTCAGACTCCCTCCTACCTGAGCTGCAAGAGCGAGGCGGAAGTGAAGGCCATCTTCAAGAAACAGCTGGATGTGTTTGTGAAGAAGAACGTGGACTTCCTGATTGCTGAGGTGAGCTCACATCATATTTAACTCGGAAAAGGCAGCAATTCATCAGTCTGACATACGAGTAGAAGAGCAAATGCTGAAGCTGAGTTGTTTCTGTCAGTACTTTGAGCACGTCGAGGAGGCAGAATGGGCCGTGCAGGTGCTGAAGGCCACCGGAAAACCCGTAGCTGCTTCCATGTGCATCGGACCAGACGGAGACTTGCACGGTGTTTCTGCTGGAGAGTGCGCCGTCAGGCTGGTGAAGGCTGGTATGGATTCAATTTGTGCTGCACGATCACACATTTTTTCCTCTTGAAAGCCATCTGTGTTTTTAGGCACTGTGATGATCTTCTCCTTATGCTCTCCAGGTGCCCAGATTGTGGGAGTCAACTGCCACTTTGACCCCATGACCTGCGTGAAGACCGTGAAGCTGATGAAGGAGGGAGTGGAGAAGGCCGGGCTGAAGGCTCACTACATGGTGCAGCCGCTGGCGTACCACACCCCCGAGTGCACCTGTCAGGGATTCATCGAGCTGCCAGAATTCCCCTTCGGTAATATAAACTCCTTTGCACATTAAAGAAAAAAAGAAGCACAATCGGTCATGCAGACTCTCACGTTTGTCGTCTGTTTCCTTATGCGCTCAGCCCTGGAGCCCAGGTTGCTGACCCGCTGGGACATGCACAAGTACGCCAGAGAGGCCTACAACGTTGGCATTCGCTTCATCGGTGGCTGCTGTGGCTTTGAGCCGTATCACATCAGGGCCTTGACAGAGGAGCTATCTGCCGAGAGAGGCATCCTGCCCCCTGGAGCCGACTACCACGGAATGTGGGGTTCTGGTCTGGAGATGCACACCAAGCCCTGGGTCAGAGCCAGGTAAACCCCTTAGAAAACAGTCAATACACTGCAACAAACAAAATACATTCATTTGCTGCATCTTCTCTTTTTGTGTGTGTAATCTGTTTGTTTATCTCCTCCAGGTCCCGCCGTGAGTACTGGGAGAACATCTTGCCATCTTCTGGTCGTCCCCTGTGCGCCTCCCTGTCCAAGCCGGAGCACTGGGGCGTGACCAAGGGCCACGCCGACCTGCTGCAGCACAAAGAGGCCACCAGCAGCCAGGAAATGAGGCACGTGCTGGAGATGCAGAAGAAGGCCAAGTCTTCTTCGTGAACAAGACAGAGCGAGAAGAGAAAACCAAGGCACCCCTGCAGTCAACCAGAGAGGGACGAGGGTGACAGGAGGAAGTGACGTCTTTCCCGGTTCAGTCTGGAGATTAAAAAGCACTTGTAACAGCGATGATGCTCCGGTCGCGGAGTGTCACAATGTAAACCCCCGAAACAATAAACCTGAGTTGTCTACTACATTTTGTGTTGTCAGTGTGGAACGAGTGCTTCAGAACGTACAAACTGATGGGTTCATCTCCAAAACACACACTTCACATGTGCACTGATTTGACAAACACGCCAAGAACCGTAATGAATCCGGAACAAACTAGTAGCACACACTCACAATACTCTCATTCAGCCGGCGAGGGGAGGGGAAGGAGTAAACATGGCAGTTGTGCAACCTGCCCCTTGCCAATCAGAGCGGCTCTTTGCCAGAACCCTCCCCTTCTTAAGGAGGATTTATTGCGGCCCTCTGCTCCACTCTACGGTCACTTCAGCCTCTCAAAGTCTGAGCAGTCAGGGGTCCACACAGCTGCAGGATTATGGCACCGTCAAAGAAGGTACGTGTGGAGTTTTGTCCAAATTCGGGGGTTTGCTGTCAGGACCGTCCTGCTTTTATGAAATACCAACAGTGATAATATGAGACTCTCAACCTCCAAAGTAAATAATAGATCTTAACAATTTAATTGGAATTGAAGTTGGAACACAACTGACAAAGAATGCATGTATTTAAAATATATATATTTGCTGGATATTTCTGCACCCATCCCATCTACACAGGGTTTGAATGGTTGGGGGGACATGTTTGGGGGCTACAGTCTTCCTCATGCATCTTTTCCACAAGTACAGCATCAGGTCACATTTTTCTCACCATTGAAACGTCCATCTGTTGCATGAATTCATCAAAAGCATTTACTCCTAAAATGTGTTAAATGCTAGTTAAAGAATAGTTTAAAACTTAGAGAACTCTCTTTTGGACCTTTTGTTTTCTGATAGGACACTTAATTATCCCTCCCTTAATAATTAAACTATTTTTAATGACAGTTTTTATAACTGTAGAATTTGTCAAGCATTAACTGCAGCCCTTTTCATAAACTTTACTTTCAAAACTAACTCTAAACCCACCAAAGAGAGCTATTCTTAGACTAATGCATAAATAAATAATGCTCCATACAGTGGTTTATGTAGTGAGTAGTTTACAGAATGAATGAAGTCGGACACGTGTGATATTTTTCACACTTTTCAGAGTCTAAAGTCTAATAAATATTTAGACTGATGCAGCCCAAATGGTCACAAAAAGTCAGAACTGCGCTCAACATTCAAGCATGTTGGAAAAGCTGCAGGTACAGCAGCTGTTGCCTCCCCTGCAGCTGCTCTCAGACATGCTGCCTTCTTGATGACTCATGGTGATTGTGAGAAAGGGGGCATGTGGCTCTGGATTTGTAAAACCACTATGCTTGAAGCTGGTTTCCTCCAAGTTTTCTTAAAATGAGGCCTCAGTGATCCAGCAGTAGCGTTTGCGGCTTGACTGATCTCGTCACATTCAGTTTTTATTTATTTTTATGAGCTCACACTGATCTGCTATCACAGGGAATCATGGAGCGTCTCAACGCTGGGGAGGTGGTGATTGGCGATGGAGGTTTCGTGTTTGCTCTGGAGAAGAGAGGCTACGTGAAGGCCGGTCCCTGGACCCCTGAAGCTGCTGCAGAGTACCCCGAAGCAGGTGAGGACAAGCTTCTTTTTTATTAATCAACTTTAATAATCTATTTTAACTGAACCCTTTGCAGCAATTCCCTGCAAATATGTCGCATGAGGCATCACAGTTGAGATGCATGTGGAAGTATGTCTGCTTTATGATGCAATCTGTTGATTTTCAGTGCGACAACTGCACAGGGAGTTCCTGAGGGCTGGATCCAACGTCATGCAGACCTTCACCTTCTACGCCAGTGATGACAAGCTGGAGAACAGAGGCAACAAGCTCACCTTCACCGTAAGTTAGATGAGACACCACTTTCAACAGAAGAAGAAGAGCATCTTGTAGGTGGCTGTTAATGGAAAATGTCGTATGTGCACTGAAACTGGCAGCTACAGTTGCTTCAGTAATTCCTTTATCAGTCCGATATTGAAAGTAAACAATGTAAAAGGACAGTCAATCAACATGACCTATAAACCGGTAAAGTCAATTTTCCCTCGTTATTAAAATAGTGATGTTTAATGTGTTTTTGGCTTCGCTCTGCAGGGAGCTCAGATCAACGAGGCCGCCTGTGACCTGGCCCGTCAGGTCGCCAACGAGGGCGACGCTCTGGTCGCCGGTGGAGTGTGTCAGACTCCCTCCTACCTGAGCTGCAAGAGCGAGACAGAAGTGAAGGCCATCTTCAAGAAACAGCTGGATGTGTTCGTGAAGAAGAACGTGGACTTCCTGATTGCTGAGGTAGAGTTTGAACACTCATGAACCACGGGGAGGGGGAAATGGGGATATTTCTTCTGTTCTGACATTTTCCAGATGACAATCTTAAGTCTCACATGTTGAGAGAACTAACTGTGCTCATGCCTCTGTCGTGCAGTACTTTGAGCACGTTGAGGAGGCCGTGTGGGCTGTGGAGGTGCTGAAGGCGACGGGGAAGCCTGTGGCGGCTTGTATGTGCATCGGACCACAGGGAGACATGCACGGCGTTTCCCCTGCAGAGTGCGCTGTCAGGCTGGTCAAGGCCGGTGAGTACAGCACTCCTTCATATAGCCAACATTGTTTAGCAGCACAGAAGGCAACCTAAAAGAGATAGTCCCACAATGAAATGCTATAATTCTAGCATTGAAAGTTAAATCCAGAAAGCCTGAAATGTGGCATTTAGCTTCATAATTATTCATCTTTACTTTATAAGACTTAGTGTAACCAGGCAGTGCTTTATAAGGAGATTAGGGCATTTCTAACTGACAGCTGTTCTAGGTTTAGCTTTAACTGGCATCAGCCTACAAGCCAAAAGTAGTTATTCTGTTCAGTTAAAACTCAAATGTTTATCTTTTTCCTTTTTTTTAATGCAAACCACAGTTGGTGTCGTGTCACTTAATCGTGTACTTTCTTCACTTATCTGTAGCAGTCAGCACTAAACCCTTCACTGTGCTCCTGTAGGTGCCCAGATTGTGGGAATCAACTGCCACTTTGACCCCATGACCTGCGTGGAGGCCGTCAGGATGATGAAGGAGGGAGTGGAGAAGGCCGGGCTGAAGGCTCACTACATGGTGCAGCCCCTGGCGTACCACACCCCCGACTGCAACTGTCAGGGATTCATCGATCTGCCAGAATTCCCCTTCGGTAATAACACGCTGCTTAAATTCTGCCATTTAACTGCCATGTGTGAAGCTACACGCTAGAAATAGATAGATGCTTGCACCCTCCGCCGCTTTGTTTTGCAGCGAGGTCACCCACGCAACACAGAAATGCACATTTTCACCAACCAGCCTGCAATTAAATGTGTGTAAAACTGCACTTTCTGTCAGGCCTGGAGCCCAGGATCCTGACCCGCTGGGACATGCACAAGTACGCCAGAGAGGCCTACAACGTTGGCATTCGCTTCATCGGTGGCTGCTGTGGCTTTGAGCCTTATCACATCAGGGCTGTGGCAGAGGAGCTGGCTGCTGAGAGGGGCATCAAGCCCGCTGCGTCAGAGAAACACGGCATGTGGGGCGCTGGTCTGGAGATGCACACCAAGCCCTGGGTCAGAGCCAGGTCAGGAGCAAATATTAATCTGTTAAATTGCCAATGAAAAGCAAAGACGCTCAGTCGAGTCCTAACTAGAATGATTTTTTACCCCTTTCAGAGCCCGCCGTGACTACTGGGAGAACCTGAAGCCAGCCTCCGGTCGTCCTCAGTGCCCCTCCCTGGCCACCCCCGACGGCTGGGGTGTCACCAAGGGCCACGCTGACCTCATGCAGCAGAGAGAGGCCACTTCTAAGGACCAACTCAAACAGCTGTTCGACAGGTCAAAGAGCCACTGAGTCAGCCTTTCTCCCTCAGACCTGGCAGCAGACATGAGTCGAACAGCTGTGCCGCGGGGCTCCTGACGCACGGCGGTGCACGCTATCTGCATACGGTGCTGCAGCTAACAAACATAATGTCACGAGGAGAACCCTCGCTTGACACCGGCGCCGTTCTGTGCATCTGCTGATTGTAAAACTGAGGCCGCAGTGCCTCAAGTCAGGAGTGGGCACATGTTAAGATCGGGACCTTTTTGTTTTCCATGACCCTGGACCAGTTTGTTTCACAAAACAAGATCTAATAAAACATGAATTGGTTACTTCACTGGTGAGGTGTACTTGCATTGGATGAGAGGGTGGAGACTGGGTGCTTTCTGCTTTACTGGTTTCATGGCACACAAACACACATTACTGCTGCAAATATACTGCAATGTAGACTCACACATGTTGAGCAAAGCATCAATGCAATGAGAGCTAACATTATACATTTAGGCCTGTTTCAGTGGAGCTGCGTGGTCGTGGTGGTTTTCATTACCTGCAGCTTACTCTTGTGATGGAAAAAGTAAAAGACAGTAAAACGTCTGAACAATCAAAGGCCTGTTGTTCACCAAAGCCCATAAACCATGTAATACAGCCTGCACAGTATAATCTCAGAACGTCCCATGAAGGTTTGGAAATCCCCCTCGTCCCACAGTGTGCTTCAAAGTGGACGTGGGCTTTATTATTTATGAATTCAGAATTACACAAAGATCGTCGTAAAACGTTACAAGGCTTTAGAGGACGGTGCAATGAAGGAGTTCAATAACGGCGTCGCTCTCATGAGGCCCATTTGCTTAACCACATTTATAAAGAGCGCTTCTGGAAAAGATGTTGGGACTGGGCTCATTTCTAATAATGTAAACGTTCAATTACATTATTTCCTGTTCAAAGGTTTAGGACATACACATACAGGGGCACTCTGAGGATTTGTTTCCTCAGTCAGTGAACTCAGACTATCAGAGGCAGGTCTGTGTCGTAAACTATTTGCATTTACTTATCAAGGAAAAGATGCTCTTAAGTTACATTATTTGAATAGTAGGATAGATTATATTGAACAGCTGAAGTCAGAACATCAGTCCTACGTTGATCTGATCTTGAGTTTTGACTTCTCCTATAAATTAATGCAGTTCCAACCACTTTGGGATTTTCAACAAACCTTTTGATCGGCTTCACAAACTCTACTGGCAACGGATACATAAGATTTGACTGTTCACCTTCAAAACCCTCCACATCCTCGCTCTCCTGTCAGACCACTTTAAGATCTTCCCCAGCTGTTCTGTTCTGTTCTGTTCTATCAGTCCCGAGTGTTGGACTCAACACCATCTGCCTTCAGTTGATCTGCACCATGACTTTGGAACCCAACACCGCTACAAATCTGTCAGCTGGATTTCAAATCACAACTCAAAACACATTTGTTTAAGACTGCATCTGTGCAAAGCCAATATGTGGAATAGATTTAAGAGAGTATCGAGGCCTCACCTGGCGCAGCGTCACGTCGCCTCTCATATAAAAGAATCTGAACGAGTCTTATTATGGCATGAATGGGTTTGAGTCCAGTGTTGCTCATCTTCACTCAGAAGGTGTCACTGTTGAGTTAATGTTCTAACAGACAGCTGCACTTTTAGTTTGTCTGTAGGTTTGGAGCTTTATATTTTTCTTTTTCTCTTCTTTTTTGTACACATGTTACTGTAAAACAAACAAAAACACTAAAAAGTGGTTTGTAAAGCTCACCAAGCCACTTTCTGCAGCTTTTTGTGTGCTTTGAAATCTGAGGCTATGTTTGGATGACAATAACTCAGGAACTATTGAAGATAAAAGGCTGATTTTTTTACCAAAACTGCAATATTGGCCATTAGATCAATAGTTTCTGATTGTGGGTGAGTTGAAAAAAAAAAAAAAAGCTATCATGAAAAGTCACATCTTTGATCAGACACTAACAAAAACAATCATAATGCAGAAGTCAACTCATGATATTCTCTGAACCGTATGTAGCTGCGTGTCACAATAATACAAAACAAAACATGGAGAGCACTTTTTAATATCAAATATTTTATCACAAAAATATTGTTTTCATAACTGAATGAGGACTGATGAGCCTAATTAAAGCAAAGCATTTTGGGCATACTGAACCCATGTTGTTATCATTTTTTAAATCCATAACTCACCCATAATCACAGATTGTTTGATCTACTTGTCCAATATTGCAGATTCTTAATCACTGACATGATGAGCAATAACACTGACAAAGTAAAAGGTATTATCATTAACAGTGTCCGAGAAATGTACTATTTCAAAGACATTTTCAAATTTCAATGCAGCAAAAGCTGCTAAAAGTGGGTTGAAAGCCTTTAATTTTTACATTTAATATATCAAAGTATGTAATATATCAAGCCAAAATTTAACAAACGTCTTTATAAATATCTAAATTTTATGCTATACAATTTTCAGACAAATGAAAGATGGTTGTGCAGATATTGTTCTAAAGATTTTATGACTTAAGATAGAACACTTTTGTAATCCACTATCCACAAATTTTCGTCTTCTTCTTCCTATTATTACCATTATTATTATGATTGTATCATTAGTATTATTATTGTTGTTATATTGTTATTAGTAGTGTTAGCATTACTAAATAAGCTAGCTGTGTGTAAAGCGCACTATGAGTTTTCTGCTGGTGACACATCTTCACGTATAGAAGATCTCTGCTACTTTCCTCGCTTATGATTGGACGAGCTGTGACCACGTGACGCCGTTATCCGTTTTTTTTTTCTAGGCGGAGTGAAATTAAAGATAGGCATGATATCTGCCTTTGCCTAGCATACTGGCCTTGTATGGCTGTTTTCTGTCAGCACACAGATAATATTCTTGCCCTTTAAATGCTACTTAAGGAGTAAAAAGCCTGCGGCGGCTTGTCAGATCTCGTCTGCTTTTACTTCATAGTGGATTTACAGTCTTTTTAGTGTCCTGTTGTCCTTTAATGTGAGAGGAAGCTAACTGAAGGTTGTAGTATGGCCTGAAAATTTGACCTAGCAGGACAACACGTCTGTGGGCTGCTTGCTATTAACGCCAGAGAGGGAAAGACACAGCTGGAGGTAAGGTAGAGCTAATTAAAGGCATTGGATGTGAGTAAAATGGTTATTTTATAGTTTCTATTTAAAGTACACGCATTGCTATTATAAAAAGTGGTACTAAATTGGGCTAAATATAAATAGCTATAATTTATAGTTATATATTCAGTTCTTTTCTGTCGCCTGCACCTGCACCGTTATCATATACCGCATCCCTTGGACCCCTCTGTGTTTATGGTATAGACCGCACTGTTGTACTTTGCTATGACAGCGGCGCCATCTTGTGGCTTGTTTCCGCAGATACAAGCGGCTTTTTATACCGGAAGAGAATCCTGAGGTCGTCATGGGGAGCAAAGTCAGCTCCAAAATGGCAGCTCCCACCGCCCGAGTTATTCAGGTAACGTCGCTCCGCAAATCTTAATTACTCCAGACGTGTGTTTGTTGTGCTCGAATAAAGGTTGTGAAGTAAAATGTTGGCCTTGATGTAGTTTTAAACGATTCCAGTGAGGCTTGTTTGGGTGACTAACAACCGCCGTACCCTTGTTAATGTCCTTGTTAAACCGTAAAACGCACAGATCTGTATTGAACGAGCTGACAGCAGCTTTTCTACTCACGAAATTAACATTAACCTTTAAATACTCACTAAATTAACATTAACCTTAAAATACTTTAGAGCTGTTTGGCTTTCTATCCTGTCATGGATGATATGTGAAGTCAGCTCAGGTCAGGACGTTAATAACTTCGACTTAAGCCGAAAATGAACTTAAAAATAGCTGTAGGAAGAAAATGCCTCGCTGACAGTTGCTCATTCAGTCACTATTTAACTATTTAGTCATATTTTTTGGTGTATTTTATCTGAAAGCCTTGTGTCTACCTCAGTTGGCCTGTAAACCTGTAAACAACTATGGCTGCGGTGAATATTTTCATAATCAATTGAGCCTTTGATTGGTTTTCTATCAGCTGATCATGTCTATAGTGGCTTAAAATTGGTTGTTTTGTTCAGACAAATATCCACAAACAAGAGATATTGTATTTACAATGACTCAAGTTAGTTTTAATGTAGGAAATACTCACATTTAGGAATAAGGAACCAGTGATTTGATGACATTTTTACCAAATGGATGACAAACTGATCAACTAATTGTTTTAATAAGGATCAGAATTACTGTTTTTTAAGCTGCTGTTACAATGTGAAGCATCAAATTATCATAATTATCAATATGAAGTAGTTTTACCAACTTTACATCTTAACCTTAAGTCGTCTCTATTCTGTCTTTCTGGCAGCTCTACTTGTTTGTCTGCTGTTGAGGCACCACGGTGGCAGTTAGAACAGGACTATCAGGACAGATAGCCTCAATAACACGTCTTTAGCTGAGTAAATGACCCTGGTGTCTGATTTTGTTTCCACAGGCTGTACGGCCTCATGCACCTCTGATAAAGTTCCCCAGCAGACAAGGCATCCCGAGGCCCAACGGTGAGTCACATAGTCGCCACAACAGCTTGTAGTTTCTTGCCTATTTTGTTTCTAGTGTTTTTTGTGTTTGTGCCTAACTGGTTGGATGTTTTAATTTACATTCAGATGTTTAGGTTAAACCATCTTTTACTTTGTGATGATTTTTGCCTACGTTGCTGTTTTGCAGTCGAAGAGGCGTTGAAAACATTAGGAGTTCTTCCACAACACAACGCTCCTGGTCCCTCTCCAGCTGCAGCGTCGGCTCTGATATCAAGACCTCATGTACCTTTGACTCCCATCCCTGGCACACCAGACTCTCTGGCCTCTATTCAGCAACTCCCTGCCAGGTACCGCAGGAGACCGTTGACGGCGGATGAAATGGACTACATCCAGGTGAGGGGCAGAACTGTCCGGACGCATAACTCAAAACAGAGGACACAATGTCCAGCAAACATGATTTCTCTGAAGCAGTTAGAATAAAGCATTTGTCCCTGACCTAGTGTTAGTTTATAGCAGTAGCTGGCTTTAAAACTATAAACTTTAACTGTCTGCTTTGATGTATTCTAGGTATAGATAATGTGATGTTTAGTATCTCTGATTGATAATCTGGGAAGGTTTATAACCGCAGTCCATCCACATCTTAATTCATAACTGATAGCAAAAACTGAAAATGTAGATCTAAAGTAAAGGCAGAATATTTAAAGAGTTTGTTCCCTGTTTGTATATATGACTATTTACAGAATTGGATTCTCCTTTCTTTCTTCCCCACAGCGTGGCGGACCAGAGTGACATGAAGCAACTCAATCACTGCAACCAAAGTCCTTATCTGTTGGAGATCAGTATGTGTCTTTAAGTCTGTCCTCAGCACAAGAGAACCCAATGCCATGAGACATGTAGAATAAAGTATACCATGAATCCTGTTTAAAATGTACATATGTTTATTCTAAGATGTTAATTTTTAAGTTTTGAGTTCATGCTAGGGGACGTCTTCGTTGTAATCCGCACCGCGAAGCCCAAACAGCAGCTTCTTCTTTTATTTACAGTCCTGCATTGCACATAGTCCTGACAGCTTCTTGTTTTTGATAAATCTTAACATTTTACCAGCTCAGCTCACCATTTTTCAGACTTGTTCAAGCTGCAGTATAGGGCTGAACGATTTGGGGAAAGTATTTAATTGCAATTCACCATTTCTGAGAGTCAAGCCTCATTTCAGTACTCGCTACAGATTAAAACGGGAGAATTTATTTACTCAATGGCTCGACAGTTTACAAACCGACTTAGACGTGCTGCTCACCTTCTATCCTAAGTTGCAGCCCTTTTTGCAATTTCGATTTGAAACTGAGCAGCTGTTCAGCCCGACTGCAGCACCACTACACCCAAATCCAAACAGGATTCTCTGGCAGATACACAAACAATTTTCCATTTCTTTCACTGCAGTAAACTGATCTGTTTCTTGGAGCTAAACAGACTGTAGAGATGGAGGATATCAAGTTGCAACCGTACTGCATGAAATGGTGTTGCGTTCATGTGAACCGCTGGATTTAAATGATTAAAAGATTGTGTTTTGACTGTGGTGTTCCTATCGTGCTTGATGTCGACATGCAGACCTAGAACAGGCCATCGGTGTCCTCGACAGACGAACAGAGCTGAGAAATGTTTTCAGGTATTTATTGTCGATACCGTTGCTGGCATGCTCGATATGGCAAACATTAACAACACTGACATTTCACAACAGCGCAGTATGACCAGCCAACCATTAATGTGTTACTAGTTTTCTAGCTACAAGCTTCAGTAAGCCGTTGATTACTCGGATGAATATCGGCACAAGTAGTACAGACGTGACAGAAAGGCCAAAGGTAAATATGTACACTTCACCTGTCTGACTGGCAGATTGTCAGCTTCGTCTCTAATCGCATCTGAGAAAAGCTCACACTGTTCCCAGGTTCTGTTTTCTCCTCCTCTTGCTCCTAAAACGCATGAATTCAGAACAATTCATGGCTTTACAAAAATACCTCTGGATGTTCAAAACCCAATATCAAACACGATCTAGGAACTTGATGAAACGAGAAAGTGCAGTAATATTAATAGAAACACACCAACGAGGAACCGTCAAGTCACAAATGAGCACAACACTAGAAGAAACACTGAGGTATGGGCTACTCTGATTAGTTTGGCGAAGAATATTTGTCCTACACGCGTCTTGGTCACAGCATAAATAGCGCCTCGCTATTTAGGAAAATTTGATAATAGTGGACTTTTTATTGTGATTTTTTTTTTTGCAAATGCCAGATTCAACATTGCACTTGATGTAGTAGAAGCAATCTGTGCTCCGTGTCGGAGGCGAAAAGGACGCGTCAATTGCTCTGTTCTTCCAGTTCTTCAAAAGCGGGTAAGAAATCGGCGATGGTGTCCACCACGTAGTCGGGCACCAAGCTGTGGTTGGTGGTCAGGTCACTATTCCTGTACTCCTGGGCCTCCTCGATCTGAGAAACGCCGGTGAGGGTGAGCATGGTGTCGAGGCCGCAGTTGGAGCCGAACAGCATGTCGACCTCCAGGCGGTCCCCGACCATCAGGCACTGGGCCGGATCCAGCCCCGTGAACTGACTGGAGATGCACTCGAACATGAAGCGGCTGGGTTTGCCGATCACGGTGGCCTTGCGACCCGAAGCCACCTCCAGGGCTGCGGTGAGGGACCCGGAACCTGCCATCAGGTAAAGATAAGGATGGATTACAGTGAATGGGATGAGGCTCCGTCACCTCCAACCACTCCGCTGTTCTCCATACGGGTTTGGCTGCAAGTGAGCTACTTCAGTCACACATATAAGACCGACTGCTCAGTCAGTGACAGAGCTACGGTGAATGTACTGAGATTTAATCTGCAGTGTTGGCTCAGCACTGTGAGACTTCATGTGCTGTCCTGCTACTAATCACATACAGCACAACTACATTACAGATATCTTATTGTTTTCCAGTGAGCCACTAGTTTCAGTTGATTCCAGTGCAACTTAACCAGGTTCCTAATACTTAATTTTGGGCAAAACTGGCAACTTGAGGAGTCTAATTCACTTTGTGCCAACTGATTACGTCAATCAGTGCAGCGTTTATTTGTGTGGCAATAAACTTTTGTGTGTGCAAGTCCACTGCAAACCTCACACAGTAAAACTACAGATTTCTAAATGCAGAATTATTTAGATCCATTCTAGTGCAATTTGAAAACCAGCTTGCAGGTTCTTCAAACTCCAGTTAAATGACTTAACGGACAAAACACTTGTAAGGCAATACACACTCAGGCTATTCAAGCAGATCTTGCATTATTCATCATTACCTAATTTTTTTAGTAGAAATGAGGAGACTGAGAGCAGCAGTACATGCACAAAAAGGCAACAAGCTGACTTGAAGCACAGCTGTGATTAAATGGCGAGCACCTTAAATTCTTTGCCCATCAGGATAATCCACTTTTATTTAATCCTGGAAACATGCAAAACAGTGATAATACCTTAAATGGATCAGTTCATGTTGCACTTACATGGTGCACAAAGTGAATTTGTATTTCATTAAATTAGGATGTATGTGTGTAGATCAGAGATCTCCAACTCTGGTCCTCGTGAGCTACTGTCCTGCAGGTTTTACTGCAACACACTTGACTCAGATTAATGGAACAGCTTGTTGTCAGGTTCTACACAAGTCTGTTAATGATCCATTAATCTGAGTCAAGTGTGTCGCAGAAACATCTAAAACCTGCAGGACAGTAGCTCACGAGCTGGAGATCCCTGGTGCAGATGTATGTACTGTATACTGTGATCAGGCCTCTTAAGGCTTCTGGGGGGCATAAACAATGCATATACAGTGAGAAAAATGGAAATGAATAGAGTCCCTATGCAGCCATGGATGACCCCTCATGCATATCTTTTGTATTTTTAACAAAGTAAATTTGCAACGCAGCAGAAACGCAGCTCATTCACTCAAATGCTAAAACTCCTTTGTTAGTTTAGAGTATGTTGTTTATGCTGGGGGGCAGCATGGTGGTCTATCCACAGCTAGAAAGTCCTGGGTTTGAATCTCTGCTGGGGCCTTCCTGTGTGGAGTTTGCATGTTCTCCCTGTATCTGTTTTCTTTGGTTGCACCTGCTTCACTCCTAAAGACAAGCTTGAGTTCATTGGTGGTTGATGTCAGTGTGTTTTAGCCCTGTGATGGAGTGGCGACCTGTCCAAGATGTTTCCTGCCTTTTGCCCTAAGCCAGCTGGGATATGCTCCGGCCTCCCTGTGACCTTCTAAGATAAGGCGATGTATAGAAAATGGATGCATAGGTGCTCATGCTGGACATGAGGAGAAGCAGGAGCCTCTGCAGACTTTGCAAACCTCTTTACACACACATATAAATATAATATAAAATACTATAGTGCAATGCAAATATGGTGAAGGAAACATGATGCATTTTCTGCAAGTTTTCACAGATTTAAGTTGATTTACTAGTTTATAATCCAATGCATTCTGTAGCTTAAGAATGCAGTTGTAATAAAAAATGTGAAAGAAATACCTCAAACTAAGGCTCTAGTTTTTAGGGCCCCCTGAAGTCTCCTGGGACTCTATCTAGGAGGCTCTTTCACTCATCTGTCCCATGTGGGCAGAAATACAAATATCCAAAGCTACAGGGGAGATGAAACCTCCGTTTATTAACCTGTGCATCAGCAGCATCATACCTGGCAGTATCCTTCCACCTGACAGCGGGTGCCAGGGGTCGTTGTCGGTGGCCAGGAACAGACAGTCCGGGTCCCGCAGGTAGCACGAAGCTTTGGCCAGTTTGAGAAAAGTCAGTTTGTCGTCATGTCCCACCAGCACCGCCTTCACGTCCGGAGCCAGGGCGCAGTTGTAGATGGTGGCGTCCGGGTCGTCCGCCTCCTCCACGCAGGGGATGCCCGCCTCCAGCAGCTCCCTGCGCAGCCCGTCGCAGCCGATGACGAACACCTGGCCGCGGACCTTGACCACGTCGCGCAGGTAGAGAGCCGAGCAGTAGGACGAGCTGAAGATCTGCTCCAGCATCACGTCGGTGAAGCCCAGCCGGTAGAACTTGTGCACATAATTCTCCCGCGGCCTGGTGCAGTTGTTGGTGACGAACACCACGTTCTTGCCCTGCCGGATCAGCGCGCTCACCACCTTCGCCGCGCCCGTGATCGCCTTCTCTCCGTGCCATATGACCCCGTCGCAGTCGAAGAGGAAGAAGTCCTTCGCCTCGAGCAGACTCCGGATCTGCGGACCTCGAATTTTCTGGCAGCCTTTGAACCCAAAGGCGCCCGCCATCCCGGCTTTTTCCTCGGTTTCGTCCGTGTTTCACCTGCTAGTGGCTCCCCATGTCAGAGGCTGGGGCATAATGTGGTCGAAGGCGGCGGCGAGAAGCGGTTTGAAAACAAATCAATGTCAGGAAATCACATTGCAGAGTCCTTGCTGCGGTTACATACACGGACGGTGGGCTACATAAACATTAACGTCTGGACACGCCCCCCTTCGTCAGGCTCCGCCAATCGGACCGCAGCGTCTCAGCCAATCAGCGCCCAGCGTGTCATAAGCGAACAGCCCCCCTTAAAATTAAATGGCGCCCTCTTGGCTGCTGACGGACAGTTTCAAGTATGACATGTTATTTAAAATAAAATGATGCACATAACCTCTGAGTAACCGTGAGAATACAAATGAATAACTATGGAGGAAATAAAATGAGCACACTGTTACAATTACATCCAAAATTACATGTAAATACTCCACTACAAGTCTGAGAAGACTCTCAGTCATCCAGGTCAGGGTTGTTCTCATAGATTAATCGTAGCAACTGGACTTGCTTGAGTTCCTTGTAGACGTTCCACCTCTCATCCAAGAGGCTTCATCAGTTCTGACTGACTAGCTGGGAGCTCCAGATACTGATATCCTTCAGGAGTCAGACCTGATGAAGCCTCTTGGATGAGAGGTGGAACGTCTTCAAGGAACTCAAGCAGTTGCTACGATTAAACTACAAAAACTCCATTACACGGAGTGGGATTTAAAGTTCTAGACTGACTAGCAGCTGCAGGCAACCTGGCATAGTGGAGGTTGTGATAGATGTGGTAAAGCCAGATGACTCTACGATCAGGAAGCAAGGACGAAGAAGTACAAGAGACTGAAGGGACAACTGGAAGAGACGTGGAAGGTGAAGGCCGAGGAGGTCCTAGTGGTAATAAGAGCTTTAAGGGGCTCCAGCAGCAACAACTGAGGGCTAAAACAGCAACAATACTGTACAGAACCTTTTAAAACAGGTTTCTAGAGGCTATTTCAAAAAGTTCAAATGCACCCATCCACACAGCACAGGTGGCAGCAGAAGCCAAATGTTCCTTAAACTGTTGCCTCTTGAACCTTACGGACCCAACCTGCACCATCTGACTTCTATGATATCTTAATGGTGGAATATGTTGACACATCACCAAACAGGTGATGCTCCACGTATCAGTGTAAGAATTTGCATATTA